TTCCTCTAAAAATTAAAATCTCAAGTCAAAACAATACTTTGTTGTCAAAGCAAGCCAGACAAATAGATGACACTGGGTCAGAGTCCACCAATGTGTGCTCTCTGCTCTGGGGAGAGCCACATTCACAGCCCACTGTGGGAAAAGCACACCAACCAGACCAGGGACAAAGTGTCAGCAAGATGGAGGAGAGGCACAGGACAGAGAAGGTAGGTCACCTGGGAAGGTCCATGAAGGAAGAGGCATAGGGACCTGGCCCAGGAGGTAAAGTATGGTTTTCAATAAACATAGGCAAGAAGGGCCGAAAAAAGCAATGTGTGTTTTGAAAATGCAGAATAATCTGATCTGGCTGAACAAAGGGCTGGTCTACCCAGGGACTATTGGGACAACCATCCCCACTTCTCAAGACTGGGCCTTGAGAAGCATAACTGCAAAGGTATGTAAGGCCAGCTAGAGAGGCGATGTCTGAAGTACTAAGGGTAGAGGACTGGATTTTTGTTTTTTGCTTTGTCCTGAGATTTTGTTACCAGTAAACAGAGATTAATTTACTGTGAAGCTAATGACACTGAGTCTTCAAGGCCCTTTACTCGAGTGGGTATCATAGTAAAGTGTGTTGACATGATAGCACATAAATACTTTTTTAAGTTTGCAAAACTCAGCTCTCTCACTGCAGATCTAACTGCTCCTTCCACTATGACCTCCCCTCCATCATATTTTTGTATCGGGTGACATTGGAGTGGGGTATTGGCCTTTTTGGCTATACAGAAGTTAAATGGATTTACTTTGGGTTTGACCGGATATAGCTGTAACATCTGTCTGCAATAGGAATGGCTTCCAGAAATGCTTCTACTGTCCACTGCATCAACTGATCTGGCATGGTGACATAAAGGGCAGGGCCAGAGGGGTGTGTGAGCACAAACAGTGGCAGCTGACACAAGGAATCATGGAAAGAAACAAGGCTTCAACTCTATGAAGCCAGATGCTAATCTGTGGAAAATTCTCTCATATCTTACAAGTAATATATAAAAGAAAATTGACAAGATTCTCAAATTTAATGGCAATCCTAAAAATTTATGACCTTACCAGTAATAAGTTTGAAGCCTAAATAAACCTCTAAACTATCAGTGTTCAATTTTGATCATCCATGCTATAAGAAAGCCTAAATTTATCTTTCTATTCTTTCCAGAGAAAATATTACAAAATCAGTCATTTGAAGATCCAGAGTATGAAGCCAAAAAAATGTGAAAAACATATTATAGAAAATTGAGAAGTAGTTAAAGAACTATTTTTATGTATTTTGTTATATTATTAGCATCTTAAAATGTATACTGATTTTTCCTATTCTAAGTAAATTTTATATCTAATTTTGAATTTGTAATTTTGTATAATTTTTTTTGTTAAAGGGGGCTCCTAACTTGTTCAAGCCTCAGGCCCAACAAAACCTGGACCTACAAGTGTAGGACTATTTAAAAAGCATCGTTTTCTTTTCTTTTTTTTTTTATCCTCACCCGAGGACATTTTTGCATTTATCTTCAGATAGAGCGGGAGGGAGAAAGGGAGGAAGAGAGATAGACACATCACTGGTTGCCACCCACACGACCCCAATCAGGGCTGGGGACGAACTGCAACCAAGGCACGTGCCCTTAGTGGGAACTGAACCCGGGACTCTTTTTTTTTTTTTGTTAATCCTCACCCGAGGACATTTTTTCATATTTTGTTCAGATAGAGTAGGAGGGAAGGAGAGAGAGAGGGGGAAACATTGATGTGAAAGGGAGACATCGAGTGGCTGCTACCCGCATGACCAACCAGGGCCGGGGACAAACTGCAACCGAGGTACGTGCCCTTAGCGGGAACCAAACCCGGATCTCTGGACCGCAGGCCGACGCTCCAACCGCTGAGCCAAACCAGCCAGGGCTGAACCCAGGACTCTTCCGTCCACGGGCCAACGCTGTAACCGCTGAGTCAAACTGGCCAGGGCAAACATAGTTTTCTATAACACTTTTGTTTGCCTGTCACAAAAAATATGACAGACACCCATTTCAGTGAATACTACTATATGTATTTGTGGTAATGATGGGGTAGGTCTGAAGTCACCCCCCACCCCAAAGAAACCCAACAGACAAGGAGGGACTCCTGCTGTGGTGTGGGTGGATGAGCCTGGAAGGGAAAGGATGAGTTTGAGGCATTGCAGGAAAGAATGTGTGAGAGTCAAGGAGGAAAGGAGAATTGGAAGGCCATCGTGCAGGGGCAGCACTCTGGAGAAGGGAGGGTGCTTTTGTGGAGACTCTCGGGGCCTATCCATGGGGAGCAAATTGTCTAGGGCTGCCCTGACCTGAACCAATGTCTGAAAGATCAAGGGCAGTGACAGTTATCTCTTGGGAGGTCCCTTCCTCTTCTTCCACCTTTCAGCTCAGACACAGAACTGTCTCAGAAGCAGCTGAGGGTAGCAAACTCAATACAATAGCAGAAGACTGGGTACTGGTAAAGGGGTGGGCATTTTGGGCCACAAGGCCATGGAAAATGTGCCAAACGGTGCCTTAGTTCAGAAGGACCTTTTCATTCCTCTCTGGCCTGTCTGGCTAAAGGCCAGATTTTCCCAATCAGCACCCCATTGCTGTGAGAACACTATTAAGACAATTTGTCCCTCTTTACACAGGTTGCAATGACCTTGTGTGGCTTGTTTGTCCCAGCCACAGACCATTCGGCCATCCTCCTCACTGCCCAGCAGGCAGAAAGCATCAGCATAATGCTCAAGAGGGAGCCTGGAGTCCTGGGCTCCCTGACCAGACTTCTAATGGCAGAATCTTTATTTCACCCTTCCCCCACTCTTAAAAAAAAAAGTGTTTCTGTTGTTGGCAAGTTGCAAACACATTAAGATATCTCCTAAATAAGTTAAAATCCGTAAGACTCTTAGAACTGTGCCTGCCATATTGCAAGCTCTATATAACCAAGTGTTAAAATGTTTTCAAAACCCTCCATATCTTCAAGGATCTAAGTTTGAAAAACCACAGAAACACGTAACAACTCACCAAGATTTACATAGTAGTGCCTGACTCCTAAGCTGGCTTCTCCTCAAAGCCTCAAGGAAGAAAAGTTTTATGATAGAACCTAAAAGTTACTAAGTATTCTGGTGACAGTCACTATGAAAAGGAAGTGAGGGGGCATGGAGACAGGGGCAGGAGAGCAAATGCCTCTCCCGCCTACACACACACACACACACACACACACACACACACACACACAAATACAGTGGATCTGCTTTCCAGGAAGAATGTTCCCAGGAGCTTCATCATTCTAGCTCATAAGGTTTGGGATCTCCTTTCTGTACAGGAGGGAAAAGTGATGAAGCCAAAGGATAGCTTCACAACACTCCTTTAAGTCATGCATTCCTTACAGACTAAGTCTTGAATCTTTAAAACCACAGAGGGAGCCCTAGCCACTTGGGCTCAGCAGTTAGAGCATCAGCCTGCAAATCAAAGCATCGCGGTTCGATTTCTGCTCAAGGGTGAGTACCTTGTTTGCAGGTTCAATCTCCCGCACGGGTTAGGGTCATGCGGGAGGCAACCCATCAGTGTTTCTCTCTCTCTCTCTCTCTCCCCACTCCCTTCTTTCCACTCTATCTAAAAATTAATGGAAAAATATCCTCAGATGAGGATTAACAAAAATAAAAATAAAAGTAAAACCACACAGGGAGGACTCTCCAACACTAAATGTGTGCACTCAGTGTTGAAGATTAACTTTTAAAGGGGATCAGAAGATTCATACCAAGGTGAAGCACTATCCACTATGCACATGTTGCTTTACTTCAAATTTAGGATTAAAAACAGCCTGATTTTAACACTGTGGGAAAATTTACAGAGCATTTTCAGACTGCTAGACCTGAAAAAGAAAATGCTGTTTGGATATAAAGTCAATCTCCTCTCACAGCTCCTTCTCCTCTCCATCTTCATCCTCCAGATCACCAGAACACAATCATGTACCTTAACAAGCAAAGCAGGAGTAAGTCATCTTCCCACTCAACCTAACCCCGCCCCGACAATCCTTGGAGAACCAACACCCACTAATTCATCCCACAATATGAACAGTATCCCTAATATGTGTCAGGCACTGCTGAATATACTGAGGAAAATGTGGGCAACAAAATGCACAAAAATGAAAGTGAGAAAAGAGAGGGGCTACATTTTCAAACTCTAATCTTAGGTTTAAACTCTGCTGCTTGGTTTTCATCCTTCTGGTCAGTTTATTAACAAGTTCCTCCAATCACTGAGTGGAACCACTTAGAGACTGTAGAGCAGAGTAAGTTTGCATTTAGGATGCATGAGGAAAGATAAACAGCACGCCTCCCAGGCTTCCACGCAGCTGGGATTTAAACCTGGGGGAAACCACATACAAGTCCTGGCCACTGGATCAATTCAAAGGTCTTTAAAAACCAACAGCTGTCGTATTCATGCCTGGGAGAAAAATGTGAAGCCCTGGACTGATTTCCATAGTCAATACATTCTAACCTGCAATCTCCTACGCAAAGGTCAAGTTACCTATAGTTAGCCATTCAACTGACAAAGGAGAAGGACTGTGTAGGACATGCTTTATAGGGTGGCTGCCACCGCCGTGGGAAACAGAGGTGCTCACTTCCCCGGCTCCGGGGTCGAGAAGGTAAAGGGAAGGTTTATGCAGGAAACGAACACAAAGACTTCTTTCACTGTATCACACCTCGGTCCGCCGTCAGCAGACACCCACCGCACACCGTCCAGTAGTGCGAATCCAGCTTCCCACTCTAGGACCTCCCCACCCTGGCCTAGCCCGGGCCCACCAGCCCCGCGGCCGCACGTGGTCCTGGGCCTGGCTCCTCCGAGCCCCAGAGCAGACCCCTTGGTCTGACTTTATTTCTGATCGGACTTTCATAAGTGCCAAGTGGGTGTGATGCGGGAAGCGTGCCCGCCCGGCCCGCGGGGCTGCGCTCCCCCGGATTGTGCCAGGGCAGAGGAAAGGGCTGCAGCGCTCACCTGTCCCGCCCGCAGCGCCAGCTGCACAGCCAATTCAAAGCAATCTTCCCAGGGGCCCCCGGCGGGCGCCGCCTCATCTTCGCCGCTTGGCTTCATCGCGGCCTCGCCCGGCCCCGCCACCTCCAGCCCTCCACGCCGATGCCCCACCGGCTCCTGCCGCTCCAAAACCAGACTCCGCACTCCCTCTTCTTACTCCCGCCACTCGCACCTCGGACTCCCCGAGCCCCACAGCTGTGCGAAAGGAGGGCAATAAGCGGGCCCGGACTAGGGAAGTCGCGCCGAGCGTCCCAAGCCCCGCCCCGAGCCCTGCCCTCACGCTGAGCCCCGCCTTCACCACTTCTCGTCCCGCGCCTCGCCCCACCCAGCGCCTCCCCGCCCCTCCCAGCGCCAAGCTCCGCCTTCCTCTGCGAGCATTACGACCCTGCGCGGAGCCTCGCCCCCCTCCGCCGCGCGTTCTTCTCCACGCCCCAGCCCCGCCCCTCCGGCTCCCAGCCCTGCTCCGCGCTTCACTCCCCAGCCCCGCCCCGAGATTCCGCTTCAACCCTCCGCCCCTTCTGAGCCCCGCCCTGCCCACGGCTGAGTGCGGCTTCACATTTCACCTGAGCCCCGCCCCTCCTCGCCGAGCCCCGCCCCTCCCAGAACTGAACACTGCTTCACATTTCCTCCGAGCCCGGCTCCTCCGAGCCCGGCAACATGCCTTCCGCTCCTCCCAGCCCCCCCTCTCCGCGCTCTCGGTGGAGCTAGAACCGGGACTGGTTGGGCGGGAGAAAGGAGGGTGCTGGGGACGGTGGGCCTAGGGTAGAAGCCTTCGATCCTGAAAGGAGCTGGGTCCCGGGGCAGGCTGCCACGGCAGCCCAGCGTGAGTGTGCTGTGAACGTCGGTTCGTGGGCGCCTCCGACCCTCTCGCAGGGCCTAGCGGCCCGCGCACACGTGGCCCGAGGGGCGGTCAGATCCTTAAAGAACTTTCTTCAACTCCTAAGGGATCGCTCTCTGCGTGGAAGGCCACTGGATGCCCGGTGTTGTTCCCAGTCTGCTCGGCTGGTCCTCGGGGCAGAGAGCACAAAGCTCCTGTGTTCCATAATGCTTGGATGCAAACGAGAAGCTTTCACCCCAGCTAAAAACCAAACACTTCGATGACAGTCTCTGGATTTTGTAACTGTCTGAACTCAAAACTCCGATGTGGAGCCCCAACTATGTGACTAGCCCTCTTTGTAATGAGTAATGACCTTTTCCACCTTGGCTCCTTTAACCTGGTACCACTTATACATAAATAAACAAAAGGCATTTCCCCAGAGAGAGACTACACGGTTTCCAGGAGTTTAATTTCATAAGCTGCTCTGCCTACTATTGCTTTATAAAAGATGCTGACCCACATAAAATTATTCTGGACTGCCAAGTCTCAGAGTTTAGGAGAACAATGGGAGTTTGTACAAAACCTTGATAGGATATTTTTTACCCAGTTAACCTAATGATAGGATTAAATGTTTAGCTTTTGTTCCTGAGCACTTTATGTTAAAGTTTGACAGTACTCATTCTAGAGAAACTCCAGGTGCATGGTATGAGAAATAAAAACTACACAGAACAGCCCAGCTGGTGTGGCTCAGTGGATTAAGCCTTGTACCAGTGCACAGAAAGGTCCCCGGCGACACTTGCCCAGGACACATGCCCAGGTTGAGGCCTGGATCCCCAGTAGGTGACAGGCAGGAGGCAGCCATTTGATGTCTCTCCACCTCTGCCTCTCCCTCTCCCATCCTCTCTATCTAAAAATCAATCAAAAACATAATTTTTTAAAAAGTTGCAAAAACCCGGCCGGTGTGGCTCAGTGGTTGAGCATCAACCCATGCACCAAGAGGTCGCCAGTTCAATTCCTGGTCAGGGCATATGCCCAGGTTGTGGGCCAAGTTCCCAGTGGGGAGCATGCAGGAGGTGGCCAATCAATGTTGTCTCTCATCAATGTTTCTATCTCTCTCTTCCTCTCTCTTCCTCTCTCTCTAAAACTCAAGACAGAAAAAAGAAATTAAAAAGTTGCAAAGAACAAGGAGGAATTAGGAAGCTAAAGCCAGGTAAGGCTTTAGTCTCTACTCTTGCCTTGCCTAGGCTTCTAGTTCCACAGCTCTAAAAACTAGGCCCAGAATTGCCTGAGCTCCAACAACAGGCCATTTTGGGGCAACTAAAGGCATGCTTTACACCAACATTTTTGTTCACCTTTTTCATGATTTTTAAGATAGGAGGCTAGACTTCTAAAAATACTTAAGACTGTGCTCTGAATGCTGCATTTAAAAATTAAATACATTCAGTTGATTTTCATGGCAGCTTTTCATTAGATATTACCAAGCAAAATTGGAAGTGATGAAATTTCTCTTTGGCCTCTTTTAGGCTCCCCTTCCTGAACACCACCCCTGCCCCCTCCCCCACTTTCTATCTGAACCTATCTGAAAGATCAGTTATATCTTTAAATAAACTCTTACTACAGACTTCGGCCTATCTAAATATCTAGAGGGAAAGCCTTCATAACTTCCTTGCCTAACTTCCAAATATTTTAAGGCAGAATCATGTTTTTTTTTTTTTACCAGTATGAAGTTTGTAGCCATCCAAATTTTCCTAAATTAAAATACTGACTTCAGCCCAGGCATTGTGGCTCAGTAGATTGAGAGTTGTCCCATGGACTGAGACGTCCTGGTTTGATTCCCAGTCAGGGCACATGCCAGGCAAGAGGAACCAATCAATGTTTCTCTCTCACATCGATGTTTCTATCTCTTCCTTCCTCTCTCTCTAAAAAATCAATAAAAAATATATTTTTTTAAATTAAAATATTGGCTTCAGTTTTTCCTTGTTGTGTAAACTTGAGCAAGTTACAAATAACCTCTTTGCCTCAGTTTCCTCAACTGTAAAAAACTTTTGGGTAAGTGTTATATGGGCTAATATACATGTGCTTTGTACTTAGGTGATTACTTTACTAAACACTTGCTCACCAATGTAGCCTTCAGTCATCTGCTTAATAAATGTCTGTTAATCACTGAATACTGAAATCAGCTTTTTCTAATAGAGTATCTAAATTTCTCATGCTTTAGTGATGATTCTCCATGGCAACATAAAATATTTATCACCACTAGTCTGCATGTTGCCTCTTTAATGTGTGAAACCACATTAATTTTGGTAAACCCCCAAAGTACCATGCTCTGCCTTGAAAGACTTTCCTAACTGCCCCATTACACCTCTACTCCAAGGGTGCAGCCTTAGGGGCATGCTGGTCACCAGGAAGAGGTATACAATGTGCCTTGACAGGGTCCTTTGTCTCCTGTGTCTTGCCTTTATGTCCTTATTAATCTGGGAGTCCCCTCCCCTCATGTGCTTTCTGGAACAAAGCAAAGTCTAAATAAACAAAATGTCAAGTTAAGTTTTTCTTTTTTTTCTACCTACTTCTCTGGCTTCCCACTTACTTTGAAATCTGATATTATTCTCCAGGGCCAAGAAGTGCTGATTTGAACATTTGCTGAGTGTTTTTTTCTTTTTTTCCATCTCATCTAAATCCCTAGAAATGTGCTCGGGATAATATCTGGCCATTCTTAATATTGTAATATCATTCATATATGGAAAGTTGTTGTCATGGGCTGAATTGTGTCTCCCCCAAAATTCATATGTTGAACCCAAATCCCCAGTACCTCATTATGTGACTGTATTTGGAGACAGGCTATTTTAAAAGAGATAATTAAATTAAAATGAGGTAATATGGGTAAGCCCTAATCCTATATGACTAGTGTCCTGCAAGACAAGGGGAGAGGCTTCAGGAGAAACCAAACCTGAGGACACCTTGATCTTGAATTACTAGCCTCCAGAACTGTGAGAAAATACATTTCTGTTGTTTAAGCCCCCAGTCTGTACTACCCTGTCATGGCAGCTCTAACAAACTAATATAGTTGCTAGGCAAAGAGGTTTGCCTCATGCATGCACCACTATGCTTTGGGTTATCAGGAGCTCTTCTCGGCCAAGAGGCCTTTCAAAGGGCAGTAGGGAGCATAGCTCTTCAGAACAGAATAGCAGAGGGAACCGTTCTGCCCACAACCTGGCGGTTAATTGGGGTCACTTAAGCAATAGAAGCAGCCAGCACCACAATTTCTCACTAAATTAAGTCAGACAGGCAATTACCAGCAAGTGCTCTGTATTTTGATATCTCAAAATATTCTGTGTACAGCTCGCAACAAAGAACAATTCTAGTAGTCCTTGTAAAAAGCTCTGCTACAGCAGAATTATCTCTAAAAAACATTCTCTGAAGGATTAGTTCTTTTTCTCATTGATTCCCACTGTAAAACTGAAGATGCTTTTTCCTATTCTGGAAAAACCTCCCAAGTCACTATTTTTTATTGAGAAAAGGATTGGTGTGGTGGTCATTACTCTGCCTGCTGAGTGTGAGCTGTACCACATACTGCTTGAGAATTGACATGATGCGTTGCCTTTCAGAATGTTGCAAAGCTTTTCTGGGACTCCTATTTCTTCTTTTCTATGCCCTCCATTCACTTCTACCATGATCCACAGTCATAGATAGGTCCTAGAGACAATAATGTGTATTTCAATAATTGGTGCCACCTTCATTCTGTTAAACTCTAACCTGGAAGGCCTCAGCCTTGGGGGGGGGGGGGGGGAAGGGCACAAAAACTATCTATGATAAATAGGTCCCTATGATATCATTGTGATTAGCTAGTTATTAATAATAGGAAGGGAGCAAAGAGAGAAGCCAGACATTATAAAAATGGTCGTTTGGACAGCTTCGCCAGGAAGCTGCAAGTTTGCACTCCCCATGGAACCACTGGTTCATTCCCTGCAGGTTATTAGGGGAAGGAACTAGACAAAGGGGAGATGAATGCATTCGAAGTGAGTGGAGGTGACATAGGGAAGGTGTCTGTCAGTCAAACATGGGAACAGATATCATTGGCCAAAGGGTGCAGGGCCACTGAAAGCCCATGAAAATTTAGGGATACATATCCCCCAAACAAAGAAGCTCTTGGCTTTTGGCTCTCTTGTGCCTCCCTTGTATTTGCCTGTGTGGCCCATGGCCATGTGGACCCCACTGCATTGATGGACTGATAGACTGCGGTAGAAAACACCAACTAAGCTAGCCTGATGCTGAATTGGACTATGCCCTAACATTGAGCAAAAACTCTGGACACCAGCTTTAATTCTAGTCCTACTGAAGTCACAGCTACACTTATTCCATGGCAGGACGGAGGGAAATGGAACCTTGTAAACTCAAGAGTGTAATTCCACAGAAATAAAGCTTTCTACAT